AAAAGACTTGGATGGTTGACTTTGGCCATCTAAATATTTTGTCCCCGAGTGTGAGGACAACAGGCTGAGTCACCACTAGGATTATGAGCATCATGGTGGAGATCTTTCCTCCCTCTGAACTCCCCAGAATGTCGCAAGGTTGGTTTCTTGGCTGTGGAGCCACAGCCTCCAGGGTTCTTTCCATGCCAGCTGTGAAGGCAGAGGAGAAGGAACATATTCTGAAGCTGGAATCCCAGCTCCAACCTTGGAGCATGTTTCTGAGGTTGGATCAGGATCTTTGATTCTCCTGTGGCTATCTAGACTCTGTCTACTGGCCACAGAATCAAGCCTTTAGAGAATTTAGGCAACCCAGCCTATAGAAGTAGTCTCAACAAAGAAAATTGCTTATGCTTAATTTCTTTGAGTACAAACTGAGACAAAAGAATTAACATGTAAGTATGGTCCTTTAAAAAGAGAGAAAATGTTAGGCTGGCTCAGAGGAAGTTGGTACACATTCATATTCTTGTCTTTTTTTTTTAAAGAGTCCTTCTAACTCAACTCATGAAATTCTTCCTCTGTCTCTGTAAAGGACAGAGATGCAAGCTTGCTTACAATCAGCCTGATTGCTTTGAGAGTTCACATTATGTTCAAAGTGATGGCTCAATTATGTTATTCAAACCACATCTACTTCAGAAGACACACCTGGGTGGTATGAATAAAGATGTGAAAGAAGAAAACACTGTAGCAAATAGTAAACAATATGAGGAGAATCGGCAATCTTGAAATGCAAGCAAGGTCCCTATAGATCCAGATGTGGATATATGTACCCAAGAGCAACATTTGATGGATGAAACTTATGCTTTTTCCTTTTGATTTCAGCTGGTGTTGTGCTTAAAAATGACAGCACAGTCTTTAAAAAAACTCTTTGGGGATTCCATAGTATTGATATTAATTGATGTGGAGCTTTCAGCGCAACTAATGTACATTTAAGTCCCATAAAAAGAGCAATGGCAGACCCCCCCCCCCCGCCCCAATGCAGAACCCTCTAACTGTGGAAAAGAAGGGAATAGTTGGGAAGTCAAAGGAAAAAAGTTGCCATTATTTTAACTTTCCAAGGTTAAAGCTGAAGCTACCAAACAAATTGCAGAGTTTTGCAAAAACAAATACCTCAGTATTCTTCTGTGGGTCTGATTTATTTAAAGCAGTATTTTTTGTATAACTTTGAATTCAAGAACTCAATGCCAGAATTCTCACTGATTTAATGGTGGGAAGGGGATCCCCACAAACCCCTAGTTTAAATCTTTAATGAGATGCACTATAACAGAATTGGCACAGGTCCATAAGATGGATAGGTTCTAGAAAAAATCTCCAAAAAAACACAATCCTTTTGTTCCATCCCAGTATCTTTCTGTTGCTCCTTGTGCCACAGGGTTCCTAGTCCTAGTGTTCTTCAGCATACTTTTTAATGATTTAGATGATGAAGTACAATGAGTGGTAATTTATTTGCAGATGATACAAAACCGGGTGGAAACACCCTGGAAGACAGAATGAAGATCCAGGGTGATCATGATAAGCTTCAACAATAGGCTGAAAACATTGAGATTCAATAGGGACAAATGTCAAATTCTCCACCTGGAAAAAGAAACCAAATGCATCAATACAAGATGGGGAATATGTGGAACTGACAAAGAAAAAGATTTTGGAGTTATTGCGGACAACAGGCTAAATATGAGACAACAACGCAATGCAGATGCAAAATGGGTGAATTCTATTTTGGGACGCATTAACATAGCATTACATCCAAATAACAGGAAGTAACAGTTCCCCTATAATCTTCACTAGTCCAACCTTATCTAGAATACTGTGTCCATTTCTGGGCATCAAGATTTAAGAAAGATGCAGAAAAATTAGAAAGGGTCCAGAGAAGGGCAACAAAAATGATCCAAGCTTTGGAAACATTGTCCTGTGAGGAGAGACTAAGAGAATTGACATGTTCAGCCTTGAGAAGAGAGGACTGAGGGGAGACACAATATTCCTTTTATAAGTACCTCAAAGGCTGTCACAAAGAGGAAGGTCACTGCTCTCTTCTTGCTGTAGGACGCAGAAGAATCGATTCAAGTTGTGACAACCCAGATTTGGGCTAGATATCAGGAAAAGTTTCCCCACTGTCAGAGCAATACGACAGTGGAACCAGCTGCCTGGAGAGGCAGTGGGCTCTCCCTCACTAGAGACATTCAGAAAGAGACTGGACAGCCACCTGAGTGGGATGCTGTAACTTGGAGTCCTGCACCAGCAGTGGGTTGGAACTGGATGGCCTTCTTGGCCCCTTCTAACCCTACTATTCTGTGATTCTATGTTCCTACTGCTGCACCTGCCACAGGCTGTATAACCCTTCACAAATGTGGCTTGCAATGGTGAGTCAAACCGGCGGTTTAGTTCCAAGATAACTAAAATGCAATTTGGCTGCAGTGCTCCAGCATGTGAATCAAACCCACTGGCAACTGTTTCCTTGTCTGCAGTGGCAGCATCATTACCAGTCTGAGTAATACCAACTACACTATCAACACGGAGAGCCCTCCTGGACCAGACCAGCATAAGGCAAATTGTAACATGGAAAAACCCGTGGATGAACACTGCTGTGCTCAACTAAGCACAGTGTTAACTGCAGGAAAGCAATTCATGTGCATATTTATTGTCATGTTAACAGGAGCTGAGCAGGAAGCACCAGCCACTTTGGGATTACAGGAACAAAGAATTAAACCATCCCCGCCACACCGTCCCCCATGACAGGTCAGACTTCCTCTCAGTTCTTACTTGCCTAACTGAAACACAGAAGTTAATTGCATTCACACAATTAAAGTAATGTCTAGATCCTCAAGCAAACCTGTGTGTGGGTGTAGAGTTTAAGGCATGAGGTTGCTGAGCTGGAGTTCACTGGCATGTCCTACATAATTTTATTAAGTCTTAATTGTAACTTAGGTTGGTTAATTAACCAGAAACAAGAATTGTCTCATATGTGGTGTCATGCAGTGGTTGGATCCATCTGTGAACCTGTTGCTCTCTCGTGACTGAATCTCATTTGTGTCTGTTAATTGACTGGTGCATCGCATTTTTGCTTTGTATATATGTGCATTCATGCTGTAACCTCATCTTGCAAAATACTCACCCCCACCCACTGTACCTATGCATGTGCATGGATTATCTGTCTGTCTGTCTGTCTGTCTGTCTCCCTGAACACGCACACACTTTCACAGCCTACTTCACATATATTGAAGTAGGTTCTTGCAATTAATAAAAAAAAAAAAACCCCTCATGCCACAATCAATTTGCTAGTTTTAGGGAGCCACAAGACTTGTAATTTATCAGCTGCATGCTAATACAGCTTCTCTTGTCGAAGGTGTTCCTAAGAGATGCAGATGTTAATGTCATGTCTTCCACCTGTACTGTGGAAAGGAGTTCCAGTCCCAAGAGTCCCCGAGTGCCCCTCCAGGAGCCGGGCTGCACAAGGAAGGATGTCTACAGGTTTTTATTTGATTAGTCACATTCTGCATCTTCTGGGTGCCCAGGGGCCTTGTTCCTTCCTAATGGATGCCCTGTGTAATCTCTCTGCCTGCCTTTGATGGAGTGAGACGGGAGGTGCCTGTCAGCTTACAGTTCATTTCTTTGCAATCAGCTGCGTGTGCTCTGTGCTGCTGCACTACACTGGAATTTACGTAAGCCTGGCTGTCATGTCCCAGTGCAGATTACAGGTATTTCACTGGCAAGCGGAAACACAGGGAGGGCATAATCTCAGTTGTCTAAACAGCTCCAAAATGCTGTTGATTCTTCTCTGGCTTTACTCCCACCCATTGCTTTCAACTCATATTTTCTAAGCAGGCCTTCCCTAGTCTAGGAATAAGCAAAATTAAAGTGCTGCCTCTCCATATTGAAATTAATGCAAAAACTAATGTTGTTCCATGAGACTCACAGGCCAATTCCTGCTCTGCGACAGGAATCTGCAGTGGGTTGTAGTAGCAGAAACTGCGCATGTGAATTTGAGGGCCATCTTTGCAGAAAGTCACATCTCTTTCTAGGTTTCTGCTAACTGCACATGATGAACAGCAGAAGGCAATCCACTTGCTCCGGTTGTGCTTGCCATAGTTTGGCAAGCTATGCGGCAAGACCCATGGAGTTCTGGAACTCTCTTGACCTGCTTGGCCTGCAGGATGGGAAGGTGGGGAAAGGAGACCAGTGGCAGGTGTCAGCTATCCATGCTCCCTGCAACCTCATGCACCATCATGGGCAGGGATGGGTTGTGAAGGAGAACAGCACGGCTGGCCCTACTAATAGGGAAAGCGAGGCGGCTGCCTCGAGGTGGAGACTAAGGGGCTGTGCGCAGCGGCAAGGTGCTGGAGGACGGCGCTGTGCCTCCAGAGCCAGCCTGCTCAGGCGCGAGGGTGGGTGTGTTCCCAATGTCCCTGCTGAAATAAGATTACACTCAATGGCCGGTCTCTGAATTACAGGTCTGCTCCTGCATTTGGGATGCAGTGTGGGGAAGTGCTATCCTATTCCTCACTGCAAGCGCTGAAATCCTGGGCAAGAGCTGAGAATAAAAGACGCCCACAGCAGCCTGACAAGGCAAGCTCTCCGCCAGCCCCACTCATCCCTGAGTTCACCAGGCACTAAGGTGAAGGGGTGGCTGGGACCTGCGAGATCACTGCATGGGCTGGTGAAACAGAGCCTTTCTGGATTCCCGCACCTTCTGCCCTGCAGCAGAAATGAGGAAGGAGTGGGTATTTAATTCCTTCATTAATGTACTTACTGTATTTATACCTTGCCTTTTTTCCTTCCCAGGAACACAAGGTGGCTTACACAATTCTCTTCCTCCTCTCAATGTTATTCTCACAATAAGAATAATCCACCATAATTCTCACAATCCGCCATACTGCACACATGCACCATTGCTCCATTTTATGTTCATTTAAACATACAAGATTGAGAGCCGAGAAACGGGACAATCTGGCCTGCTTGCCGTCACGTACCAAGTTTCCCTCGTCATCCGGATCATCACATTCAGGAAGTGGATCCTCCAAGTGCAGCTGTTGGATCAGGACTCGGGAGGCCGTTTTACCGTTGCAGTCTTGGCGCTCTGATGCAGAGCTGTGGCTACTGTGGATGCTGCTGGTCCGGTACAGTGAAGGCACCTGCAGGGTATCTTGGAAGTCAAAGGAGCCCTTGGTTTCCAGGGACTCCATGCGGTGAGGTATAGAGCCATTGATGCTCCCGGTCCTGCTGGACTGCTCTTCCTCAGAGCTTTCCCCCTCCTCCGAACTCTGCTTCCCATCCCCTGACAGAAGCGACTTGCGCTCTCCGCTTTGGTTGCGGCGCTTCAAGCTGGGAGCCCGCCCGATGCTGTTCCAGCTCGACCGACGGCTGTTCCAGCTGCTTCCTGCGCTCCAAGGGCTGTGTGGAGAGCTCCGAATGCTCATCTGAGGTGAAGCAGACATAAACATGAAAAAGTCACCGTAGGGCCATAAACAATCACTCATTCATCAAGGCCTCCAGACATGGCGCCAAGGGCATCAGCTCAAAATGCAGGGCATCCTCTGGCAGGTCTGTCACACAGAAACAACCACAAAGGCCGGAAAAAGCAGAGTATGAGAAGACAGCCAGCCTACATACCGGGGATTTGAGATCATATGCATTAGGATCCATGGAGATGCTGCTAGCTCTTCGGGAATCGTAGCCCTGAGCCACTTCTCCATACATGGCACTTTTTGGCATGGGCATAGGCGTGGCAGCAGTGTGAATGATGAGTGGAGGGGTCAAGCTCTTCTTTAGCTCTGGGTGGTCACAAAGAGCCATCACTGAGAAAAACAAGGCACACTTAGTCATACCCTTTAGGGAGATACACCTGAATTTCATCAGGCCAAGACTATGGCTGACTTTGCCCTGAACTTCTATTTTCCGTGATGTTTTCCTCATTCTTCTACCCTTCTAATGTGACTGCCTCAAATTTCACTTTGCTGTGATTTGTCTACAGGCATTTTTCTACACATGAATTACACATAGCAGCACTCTGCTTGTCCCATTCCCATTTAGAGATATCATTCTCATTTAGACCCAGTCCAATTTCAGCACAAGTCCTTCAAGGACACCCTCAAAAATAAGGATGCCTGCCTGAGCACAATCAGGTCCCGCGGTATCCATCTTTTCTCTTGCCGCTTGAATCAGGGAGGAGATTGACCCAAACCCCATATTGTCACCAGCTGATGAGCCATAAGTCATATTTAAAGCCTTTTACAGTTTGAAAAATCCCCTTAAACATTATTGTTGCAGGGTTGCTCCAATAAGGACCGTTCTTGTCAAGATATTTTGTTCCCTCATTTTGTCTCATTCTCTTGAATCAAATCACTTTAAGTGTGGCTGCCCTGGAGTCAGATGTTCAGGAGAAGCAAAATCCAGCATTCATACTCAAGTGGAAGAATACTTTTTCTTGAAGCAGCAAAAAAATCAACATTGTTACTTACAGGCAGAATTCGAAAAGTTTTTCTTAAGTCCACAGTCTTCTTCCAAACTACGGGGGAAAAGTTCCCCCTCAGAATCGGACTTAGTAGCATCACCCTGGAGCAAAACAAAGCACTTTAGTAAGCAGGATGATAGAGTCACGTTAGCTCAAAGTCCCCCTTCTGCATAAAAGGACTCCTTGCCCCCACAACCAAGATCATCACTGTTCCACTGAAATTGTTACCACAATGGGACACCACCTTCCACAGAATGAAGCATGCACATACTTATACCGCATCTATTTCACTATGCGGTAGCCAAGCCCGGTGCCCTCCAGATGTGCTGCACTGCAACACTCATTATGTCCAGCTGGCATGATGGGAACTGTAGTCCAACCTATCTGGAGGAACAGCTGAAGGCCAAGGGCAGAGAGGCCACAGGATTCCCAAGCAACTGAAGACTTGAGTGAGGCAGTAACAAAATGCTGGATTGTCCCATCCCTCTGGAATCTCTGGTGGGAGCACAGCTCAGTCCTGTCCTGGAGGGGGAAAAAAAGGCTCTCCCACAAATTACCTTCCTCCTTAAGGCATCTTCATCCCAGAGACCCACCACTGTTTCTGCTGAAATGCAGGTACAATAGCCCCGATTTGAATCAGGAACCTGAGATTGTATCTTGGTGATTATCCTGGGTGATGGAACTATGAGGGAATGTATTGAATGTATTGATAGAAGAACAGACACTCCAGCCCATTGGACAACCTCGAATCAGACTGGTATGATAAATTTTTATAGAGAACAAATTCATTTATCTGAATGCCTTGAAGGAGTACGATCTATTCTGTCTAGTTAATCACAGGTTTGAATAAATGGGAATGTCATCCTACAGCACTGATTCAGGCTTTCTGACTATGAAATCAGATGATTTGGATCACTTGGCTGTAGATAATGGAGTTTTACCACACTGGGAAGCCTTTTCTAATGAATTAGAATGCTACTAGCTGATAAAAGCTTTCCCTATTAGGAAGTTAGCCTAGAGCCTCTTTAATTCTATATTAAATAATTCACTTGTTCATTAGCCTCTGCCATTTCCTTCACTGACAGGTTTCTTAGAACAGGCTTCATTAACAAAGTTCCCTCAACACCTTCCTCTTTGGTCCTTTGATCTAATTCACTGGCACATGTGGTGTTGGTGTTGATAGGAAAGTATTAACGCTGAATGAAATAACTAAATAGTTAAGTCAGGAATGATGTATTTCAGAATGATTCCAGTTTGATTTCCTGAAGAAATCATAATTCTAGCAAAGAATAGCCCCCACTGAATTTGACCTGGTTAAGGAAAGAAGAGAATGCAGTGCTAAGAGAGAAGCCAAGCCAAACTGTACTGTAGCTAGAACGTGAGGAAAGTAAGACAACAAACAAGTCCAACAAAGTCTACTTTGCTATACTAAGAAGCATCGGCTCCCCTGATGACATTTGGTGCTTGGGCAAAACATGAAAAGCAGAACAGGCACAAGGAAGGGAGGGTAATTTGCGACTGCAGACTTCTGGAAATAATTGGCAGTTTTGCCTGATTAAAAGAGTGCAGGGCCACTTCATCAACATAAATGACCTTTATCTTCTCCAATTAAGTGTGTGTTTGTTTACCTATGTAGATGAGCATATCTACATAATTGTATTTCTCTCCAATCAAGCTGTGGTGTTTTTTCACAAATGCGTCTTCATCAGAGAATTCATAAATATGAAATTCTGTGCCTTCATATCGGTACCAGTTCCACATGACCTCAGGTCTGCTCAGAGCAGAGACATTCAATCAGCTGTTTTCATGGTGGGTGACTGTAAAGGGAGGTATCTCTAGAGGGTTTACTCAGTTAAGATGGACTTGAACTGATGAGATGTTGTGACACAGCATCAAGCTGACTTTCCTCTTCTGGGAAGTTTGTCGGCAGGCATGCTACAAATTGCATGCTTCCTGTAGGGGAATGATTAAGCCGGGCTAGAGCAGTGTTCCATTAATCTCTGCAATTAATGGATTAATTAATTAGTAGTTTGGACAGGGCCATATTTTTCCAGAAAATAAGTGATGTAAAAGAGACAAGGATAAAGGAATGTTTCTTACTAGATGAAATGCCTATTAGTTTAAGTATAGAAGCATCTCAATTTTTCATGATCAACTAAAAAGTTACACCAAAATAATTTGATTTAACAGAAGACATGACCTTTATCTCTTTTGTATCTCTTAAGATATAACCATGTAAAATCTTAACTGAACCTGTTCCTTGTGACATGATGCCCAGTACTAACAGCACTGTGGCAAAAAGCTTCATTCAGACAATGCACTCAAGACCAGTTGCCCATTAACAAAAGGTTATCTTATTTAGTAAATATAAATTGCTATCTTAATTAATTACCCCCTCAAAGACCACCAACATTTATGTGCTTCAAAATCCATATGGACAGAGTATGAGGAGCTGGACTTAAGAGTGAGAAACTGAAGCAGCTGAATGGTTATCTTGTGTAGTTTATGATGACCCTGATGGAAGGCAACCTTTAGCCAGCCCTTCCTGCCATTCCAGCTTGGCACTAGAGAACCTCAAGCAAGTGAGAGAAATTACTGGGTGGATCTGTGCCTATATGGAGTTGCTGAACATGCCAATGCAGTAGATAAACAGTGCCAAGTGTCCCCTGCAAGTAACCATTTCAGCACAAATGTTTGCAGCCAAAGTACTATGCATGTGACAAATACTCAGCAGCAGAGGTTAAATAAATTAGCTACTCATTAAAAAAGTGAAGTGGACTAAAAACCTTGAAATAACATTGCAGTGTGCAGAACTGGAATCAGGTATGCTTTTTATGACTTAGTTTGTGTTCCTAGAAAGTGTTTTAATTGTTAGGAAGTACTCAGGCTGATTTTTTCTAAATATATGTATTTCAGGTGCATGTGTATCCTCCAGTATTTATATATAATCTCGAATACGCAGAAAGAACCAGTGGGGTGGAGGGGAGATATTTTTAATTTCTAGCTGAACAGCACCAAACCCCATCTTTTCCTGAGGATAAAGCATCTGTGCCATAGCACACACCAGCACTCTCTTCACTATTATAAGCACTAATTTTAGCTGCAGGCAAGCATCATCCACCAGGGCTCCCATAGAAGTTATTACCTGTTTTTGAATTCCTAGTTTGCCTTTCTGGATAAAAATGGCATTACATGAGCAATTGTAAACTTCTTTCTTTCTTTCTTTCTTTCTTTCTTTCTTTCTTTCTTTCTTTCTTTCTTGGTAGAACCAAGAGTACTTTGAATGTGGCACATGGTTACAACATCAACATCCTTTCATCTAAATAAAAGCCACTGCTTTCGATATTGAATGGACGTAGAGAAAAATGGGAAGAATAGGCCCAAGGTAGGAAGGAAGCGTTGGTGCCACACACGGCAGTAATGCAATGCACATGATTTTAAAGGTAAATAGCAAGGTGCAGAGTTTCCCGATATTAGCATTTGAAATACTCAGTTTTGTAAAAGTATGTTTATTATTTTACATTTAAAGAGGCTACAGAATATTGTTAGCATTTAAGTCTACCAATACTTCACAAACGTACATAGGAGTGAGCTGGGTGTGCAGGGAGGGAGCATTAACGTCTGTTCCAATCTCTCCCACGTATCCCAGGCCTGAGAATTTCACCAGGGGGTTACAGTGGTATGCTCAGGCCCTCTGAACAAAACTGCCGATCTTTTCTTTTTTAAAAGGACATGAGCATTAATTGCAGCAGCCTCAATTCTAGTATCCAATTTCCAGGACAGAGTGCTCTCACACATCCACAAAGTATGCTTGATTTTAGGTCTCCTCTGTCTTTGATGGGTTTCTCTCTCTTTCTCTCTCTCAATAACAGGGAACTAGACCTGACATGAACAGGGTTAAGGGATTGTTTGTAGGCCATGGGGTGCAATAAAGAAAATGTCTTGGAAATCAATATGGAACTTATTTGCTCAGAATTCCCTTTAGGCAAGTGGGCAATTTTTCAGTAATCTGGGCCTAATCTATTACTCCCTTGCCACTGGTGGTATAAAAAAATTAGCAAGTTGAAGTAATAATCCGCAGCTTCCATGAATCAGAAAGATAAACCTATATTGATAAGAGCAATTGGTGCTTACATTAAATGCAGGCAATCTCCAGTAGTCCTGGCTCAGCCAAATTCTGGCAATATAAGAAAGCCACAGGCAGCGTGGTGCGGATGCCTAGCTATGACTTGGAGAGCCCTGGGCCAGGCAGGCAGCTTGACTGTTATGTATGCCGCCCCGCCCCCCCAAACTTCGCCCCCCTGTTGGTGGGGACAGGACACAGAGACATCTGTAAAGATGATGTTCACAGGCAAGAATCGAGAACAGGTTCCCAGTTATTAGGAAAGCTCTGTTAATTCCCTCAAAGGAGGAAGAGACTTAAAATCAAAGCCAACTTTATGAGGACGACAACAACTTCAAAACCAAACAGCTACCATGATGAGAACGGTGGCTATGATGTGACTGTTCACCACAAAGAGAGGAAGAGGAAGAGACAACTATCAGACAATGCTTGGGGTGTTCATGCCAAGATCTTACGTACCACTGACGAGTCGACAGGCAGCTGAATACAGCTTAACTGCCTACTCGCGGCTTCCCGCTTGGTGATTTCCTGAAGTAGAAATGAGGAAGGAGGGGTGGGAAGGGGGCAGGGAGGGAGGGAAGGTTTTACACATTTCAACATCAAAATTGAGAGAGGATCAAGGGAAAAGATATAGATATAAAAGGATGAAAACAAGAAGGGGAAAGCTGGAGAAAAGGAATGCACCCATTGGGGTCAATTTCAGTGCATGGACAAGCAGTGGAACAGGCCCCTCTCTGGGCTTCGGTCATCCGATGCTCCTGCTGCAGCTCTGTGCAAGCAACAGGCCGCTCAAGCTGCTGAACAGCCCCTTATGGAAGCATAATCCTTACCTTTAAATTTAGGGCGCTGACAGATTTATTAACAAAGTATTAGTGAAGTATTAGAAGGAAGCAGTCATATATGTTTTATTGCTCTCTCACACAGGATCCAAAATGTTTCACAAACAGCAACCTCCCTTCTCTCCCACTTTATATGACAAACCACTTTTATAACTCAAACAGTTTAGAGAGGTAGTTTTTGGTCTGGCATGGTGTGTCTGCTGTCTGAAGAAAAAGAAAGTTAAAAAAAATCCTGCTGGGCATATTGGTGCAGTGGGCATGCCTAAACTAGTTCACTGGGCCTTGGCTGCATTCAATTCTGTTGTTAAAGTTCCCTTAAGAAAATATGTAGGTCCCAATAAAACAAGTGGGAGTGCATAGCACTGGGCCAACATTTGAGTTAAGACCAAATAAAGCAAGTTTAAAGCTGGACATCTCCAATACGGAAGGGAAATATGTGTCTGTTGGAGTGCAGTCCCCCTCCTGCACCACCATTGACTATACTAGCTAGGGCTGATCGGAGCTGCAATCCAACGAAATCTGAAGTACTCAAGTTGCGCATCTTGAACTACAACGTTAACTCCAGTGCTGTCACATTTAGATGGTTTCCAGCTTACATGTCCAGTAAGGGTGAAGTGAATGGCCTGAGGTGCAGCCCTGTTCAGTCACAGAAAAAGGCCCACAATCCTCAGCATATTCCAGCCAGCTATGTTGGAGATTGTGGCCTTTTTTCTTTATATACTTGCACAGAACTGTGCTCCTAGAGAGTTTTTCTGTTCCATTTCACACTAAATGCCTATTTGACACGTTAAAAACCTGTTTTCTTATTTAAAACATTTATTGGCTGCCTTTCAGGGCAGGAACCCTCAGAATGAGGGATACTACAGTCAAACTCACAGAAAAAATACAGCAATAAAACCAGCACACATTCTGTAGAACAACACACACCAGCTTAAGACAAAACCTATAACACACAATTGTAACAGGAAACCCTGTTTGATAAAACACAGTCAGAGGAAAGAGAAAGTAAACAAATGTTCAGGGCTTTCCTAAAAGCCTGCGATGATGGGGCCTAAAGGACCCCCTCTTGTGACAATCCATTCTAGAGTCATGGGGCCACTGCAGAAAAGGCCCTCTCTTGTGCACTCACCCACCTAATTGCCCTCCAAGATGGCCAAATGAGAACTAGCATCATATGGTGGCTCAGTCTGTGCTCAGCTTCTTGTGACAAGTGCATGACAGAAAGGGAAAGCCAATTCCTTCAGCGTTCTGCAGCGACTTCCCAACGCTCCTGAGCTTGAAAGTGCAGGTGGAGCTGCAAAGGTACCTGCTTCCTGGTCATTCAAAGAGGTGTGCCAGAGGGAAGGACTGATCTTTGCATTATGTCTTTTCACTGAAAGTGACAGAATTGCCATTCAAAGACCACAGAAAACAGTAACACTCTGTTAGCTTCTGTTTACTTGGGGCATGTTCTTGAGACTAAAATATGAGAACCTGTTAGATGTTTAGCTTTATTTTACAGTATACTCCTGCTATATTAGGCTATCTTGTTGGTAGAAATGTGTTCTGTTTAGTAGCATGTGTTATACTTGGGCCGGGGATAGGGCATTTCAATGTTGTATTTAAAAATGATTGTCAAAATGAAATAAAAATACCCTGTGGGCAAAATATCCAGTTCCTAGCAGAATACATGATAAGTTCATTCAGTTTCATATTCAAATGAGAACTGGAATGTTTTTCTACAATTCTGGAAATTGAGAATCAAATTTCGATCCCCACTTCTTATTGAACAGATTTGATTACTCTGGCTGCACCTCAAGTTTCCATCTGCACAATGAGGGCAAAAATAGTTCGGAACATCAAAGCTGGTTATGCTGCTTGTTAATTCAGCCACATGTTGCTGTTGTACAAAGTATTCATATTATTTTCAGTGTGTTGCTGCAAACACTTAACTTTTTCTCGCCTGCCATTGTTAGTGATGGATTCAACAGGGTGTGTGTGTGTGTGAGAGAGAGAGAGAGAAAGAATGAATTTCTAGGTAAGCCCAAACCATTTGAAATCATCACTAGTTAAAATATGGATCAAAACAAAACAGTTATGTCTCTGGAAGCACAATGAGAGGGGCTAGATGATCACATCTCAACTTAATAAGCTGCGGTATGTATTCGGTTTTTTTGCTGGTGTATGCACTTCCTTTACCCCCCTCTCCTTTTGAGCCAATATTCAAACGAGCTTCCCATTTTGTCCATTTGGAGAAACTTTTGCTTACATTCTTGGAATAAGCCAAGAGATCAAACCAATGGTGAAGTTGGGTTAACTTGACTGGTTCTGAATCTGCTGACCACAGTTTCTGAGTTTGGATGAAAGACTTCCCGGATGGTTTTCAACTTCCACAAAGGGAGGAGCAAAAGGGATGCATGTAAGAACTAAGATTTCATATCTCAGCATATTAAAGCAAGGTATGTTTATCTGAATGTGAACATAACAGGTACTTCATCAAACTCTCTTGCAGAAACACATGGATAAGCTAGGAATACCAAAACTGTACCATCAGGAATGCAGTCTAATGGATGTTTACACTGAAAAAGTCATACAACTCCCAGCATTTCCCAAGCAGCAATGCTTGAAGTTTTAGGATTTCTTTTTGCCCACACATGCCTAAGATTATGCGCTGAGTTTTAAAGGATAACTACATGAACTGTGGTTAAATTATGTGAAATGTGCTTTAAGCCCAAGACATGACCAAGAACATTCCAGAGCTATCACTAGATGATCACTGAAATAAATTATCATTTTTTTTGCTTCTGTTTTGGAGTTAGTTATAACAGACTAGTTAGCCACAGCCTGACAATCAATTTCGATGTTCAATATTTACACAAAAGTCTAGGAAAAGTTGCCAGTCCCTGCTGTCCTTACTCACAGGGTAACTTCTGGTAGGGGACAAGAAGTTAGAAGAATAACCCAACATTCAAGAGGGACAGAAGAGGAGGTAGCCTCTAAGGATTACCAGAGACAACCATCAAAACTGTAGGGTACATGAAAGTATTAATAATGGGAGAACAGGTTTCATATATTGGTATGAAGTCCCTTCATCACTGATGGATCATTCTCATCAAAAGCCAATGTCTCTTTTTTGGATAAATCTCCCAGGGCAGAGACTTTGGAGCTCACACAGCCAGTAACCCTGCATTTCCAGGTCTATCAAACATAGTCTTCCTCACACTCCTCATCTGGCGCACCTTATAACTGCTGCAAGTTGAGACACAAAATTTCCAAATGAGAATGACTCTCAGACCACACATTGCAATCAAAGCCCAGTCATATTGCAGGACATGTGCAATGTCTGAATCTCTTGTATTTAACAAAGGGGGTGTGTGTGTAAGAGCATCCTCATTGGTTTATATGCATGACTGCTGCTTAGCAACCAAAAGGTCCTGCTCGGTCTGGCACTAAAACTAAACAAGTGTTTCCAGAGTTGAAAAAAGGCACTTGATGATCACAAAGCTAAAACCATCTGTGGCACTAGAAGCAGCGCTTGGAGGCAAAGTAGGTGGGGAGAAGGTACGAGCTCAAGGAACAAAACTGTCTTTGGGTTGTGCGATAGGCAAAAATATAACACTACTTTTTCTTTTCTTCTTATGGAAAGATTTCTTTGTGTATGATGCATATTAAAAGGAAGGTACAACCCCATGCAATTTAAATGCACATTAATTTTGGAACAAAGATTTAAAAAGAGCAATAAATGCTAAATCTGTATACATTGACATAGTTTAGGGATAGGAAACTTGTGGTCCTCCAGATATTGTTGGTCTACAACTTCCATTATCCCTGACCACTGGCCATAGTGTCAGGGACTGGTGAAAGGTGTAGTCCAGCAACAACTGAAAGGCCATACTCCCCAGTCAAGTTAGATATTTGACGAGTTTGGCTGATTCATATCAAGGGATGTTATATAACCACACAAAGCTAAACACATTATGTTCTGTATATCTGATTCAAATGTAGGGGTACTATTATCATTCCAGGCTGCTAATAACAAAACAGAAGACTGAACATGAAATAGATTGACTCTATAATGGAAGCCACAGCCTTGAATTTACAAGAGCTGAGCAGAGCTGCCACAGATAGGACATTATGGAGGGCTTTCATATATAGGGTTTCCGTAAGTCGGAGACAACTTGACAGTACATAACAACAACAGCAACAAATTAGTAATTGGAAGCAACAAATATTCCAGGCAAGTTGATCAATACACTCCACCCTGGATACAGACATGGTCTAATCATTTGACAAAAGCCAGGAGGTTGTTTTCTTTCAGCTGCCTGAAGTGTGAGGCATCACCCAGTTGTCAAAAAGAAAGCTTTGACTACTCATAATGGCCTTCCTCCATTATCTAAAACAAAAACTCTTCCGTAACACTCGGACATGGCCATGATACCAACAGAAACAACATCAGTGAAATACAACAACCTGGAAAAGGTAGGATTAAACAGAGACACTGTAGCTACTTTGCCCTAAGAGGCCTCAACACACCTTCTTCTTAAACTGCATTTGAAAAGGTACATAAAGAACTTAAGAGGTTTGCTAATTGGGTTTTTATAGTGTGAATGAATAGAATAGAAAGAAGAGGTGACAGACTTGAATAGTTATTATTCTCTTGTCACATCTCCCTTATCAAAGTCACTTTAATTTAGAAACTGTAGTATTAGCTGCTGCTGAACAATGCTGTAGTATTAGCTGCTGCCTGCCCAAAGCCTTGAGAAGAGCAATGCCACCTTAATGCCTTCACCACTGACATTTCACTGCATGAAGACTAGCTTTTTGACCACTAGCCTGGGATGCAGGCACAACTATTTGATGGCTAGTTTTTGGAAGACTCGTACATATTGTAACCTGGCTTCCGGAGGCCAAGTTCATCACAAAGATTTGCTTTCCAACTACCTGCTGAGCGGGGCAGAGAAGGGCTTTCATTCACAAAAACTTGTGAATTTTTTGGCAGATCTGTCCATAGAGAACAGGACAAAATTGTACTGATAAAAGACATCAACATGTTGCTCTTACAAAGGGAGGAAAACATTTGCCAAGGTACTCAGCAGCAAAACAACAATACCATCAACCTCCTTTGTGTCTTGGCTGTACATTTATATAGACAGGCCAATTTTTAATCTGGCTCCTCAATGCAACATAGCTTGGTTTGAAGGCTATTACATTCCTTCCATCCATTGCTCTCTGCTTTATCTATATTCATCCCCATCATGCTTTGACCTTAGCCTTTGATAAACTAAAGAGCCTGGTTTATTCTGAAGCATTTCTGGAGGAAAGGAAGACAGTATTATTACCTCTCCCTCCTTCCTTTTTAAAATGCATTTTGCCAATCCTAATACAAATGTGGATTCTGACTCTTCTGTACTAGCTATTGTCTAAGGCATGACAAATAAATTATTCAAGGTTTTACCTCTGTCTGAAAACCTTCTACCAAGATGGCAACCAACAAGTTAAAGAGAACGTAATTCCCGAATGTCATGAGGGCAATGAAGTATAGGGCAGCCCAAGAAGAGGTAGAAGCCATGCCATTGTATAGGACTTTATTCCAGTCTTCTTGAGTAAGTATCTGGAATGAAAAAAAGGACCATGGAATGTGAGACAGTAGCACAAAACATCATTTTTCATTAACCTTGAGTTGCTTTTGCTAGCCTACGAACAGGTGCTCATTTTGCGGGGAGCTTTATTCCCCAAGGATAAACATTTTATGACTAGGTACTTTAAATCACTGGCTTTGTTTGCAGAGCACTTATTAGTTCTAACAGCATAATTTCTCCTGCCTCCAACAAGTTCTCACCATACTAGAAGGATTCAGGTCTTCACAGGCATCGTCCGTGAGACTGTGAGCCACGAATGTGCAGCACTGCCCTCCCCGGCAGCGTGCAGTCCTCGTTCTCCACTGGTCGAGAAGCAACGCTCACTCCTGACCAATGGGTGGGCTGCCACAGAAGGCTCCCGACTTCTCTCAGGGGTGTCCGGACAACTTCAGTGTTTTCCTAACCAGCTGCTGGCTTCACCTACATTTGGGCTTTCTCAATCACAACCTATTTTTTAAAACCTAAAGTATTTCTCTGGTTTTGATTTGAATGTTCAACCTTTCTCCCAATATGCAAGATCTTTGTGCGAAGGGACAAATAATCTTCATCCTTGCAAAATTATGAGGACACAAATTCCCATTTGTTAAAGGCAGTTTGACTATTTGAGGAGACACCTCGGCTATGCTGTCCTTGCTCTTAAGGAACAGCATTTATTATATTATTTACTGTCTTTCTTACAAAAGATGGCACACAAGACAGCTAGCAATAAGTCCAAGATTAAAACTGAGCTTTGATTAAACCAATCATGAAGATATATTGAATAATATAATTAAAACCATCACAATAAATAAATAAATAAATAAATAAATAAATAAATAGCATCCAAAAAATTGGAATAAAGCCCTACAGCCACAGCCAGCTTAAATGCCAAAGGCCAGGCCTGAATGAAAATGCCCTGCTTGCTAGTGGAAGCAACAGAGAGGGAGCCAACAGCCTGCCTTGGCAGAGAGGTCCACGGTCTGGGAGCAGCCATTGCGTCCCCATTGGATGTGCTTCTGATGACAGCAGGACTGAGAGAAGGACCTCCCCAGACCTCTTAAGGGTCATATAGGAGAATATGATCTTCCAGATAGCTTGGTTCCAAGTCATATAGGGCACTTCACTGTAAAGATTGACATTAATTCCAAAACACCAGCATTTCAGATATAAGCCAACTTATAAGCCTGAGGCTTTTGCGCAAGGACAGCATATAAATATTATAAATAAACAAACAAACAAACAAACAAACAAACCATCTGTTTCTGTCTCTGATTTCTGCAAAGACCCAGATTTCCAAAAAGTCAACCTTGTAAATCCAAGCTAGTCTGGGTATTATATTTTGTGGGCAGATTTCATGAGCACCCCCCACCCCGCCCCATCACCCAAATCCTCAATGGTTCTCTTGACATTCTGTATGGAAGTTCAAAAAATCCCAAGAGGTCTTATTATGAAACAGCCAACCCCGACTCAAGTATTACCTGGAAAACAGTAACGATGGCCCAGAGCAAGGAGTCGAAGTTCTTCCTGTCTGGAAGAGTGTCTCCATCTCTCTCCGAACCAAACTTACAGCCAAAGAGATGCATCCCAAGGATACTAAATGCAAGGGAAGGACAGGCTAAATTACACATTCAAGATTTAACTAGAAAGAGAGACTCTGTCATATAAGCTCGTAGTGTTTAGAGCCAAGTTCCTCATTCCCCACTCCCACCACCCTCTGCAAGAGGGATAAAAAGTCCAAGTTCATCCATCTATTTTCTACCAGCTCTCAGCATATCTTGTGGCAGCTAGAAACCGAAAGTTCTCATGTGACCCCAAAGCGAGGTCCATGCATTTGAGACCTCTCTCCTTAGGAAGACTGGTAGATCCGACCCTGGAGATTTTGAATGCTTCCAGAGCCAAAAACGCTTTTCAGCTCAATTCAAATTCAGCTCTAAAGTAACTGCAGTGAGCAGCTCATGTAGGAAAAGGAATAACTACAAGTTTTCAGAATACACAAAGCTGGGGCATAACACATTCAATGTCCTTCACACTTAGCAAACTTATACTAAACATCTGCCCAGCCAAATAAAGGGTCACATATCACCTTAAAAACTTGTGAAAAACTTGTGTTAAGTATTCACCTGAAGATAAAGATGAAAAGCATGAGTAACATGCAGAAGGTGGCCACGTTGTCCATTGTTTTCATGAGAACCACCAGCTGGCGTTGGAGAGCAGGCATGAAACGGACCAGCTTCAGGACTCGCATAAGACGGAAGGTCCGTAGAACAGAGAGGCCTCCGCCCTGCTGTCCCACTATCTCCCAGACACTAAGGAGCGAAAGAATAATGTTGTTGTTGTTGTTGCTAATCATTTCATTTCTATACCGTCCCACAGCTGAAGTGTTCTGGGCGGTTTGCAATAATTCATAAAATGGACAATAAAATGCAGTAAAACCTTAAATTTACCAGGCATTTTAATAATCAACTAAAGATTGGTTTAAGAACCTGTTTTGATGGATGTTCTCAAGCTATGATTACTGTATAAATTGTGTTACTTTTTGCTACAGCCTTGTTGAGTTGCTGTGCTCCATGTACTCTGTTTTTATTGTTCTTAATGTTTTTATTCTGTTTTCTACTGTACACCACCCAGAGAGACCCATGGGCTATGGGGCAGCTTATAAATGTAATAAATAATAATAAAAATAATAATCCTCTTGGACTGTTTTGCGACATAGAAATATAAAATAAATAAATAAAACATAATGCAATTGGAAAAAATTAAAAAAGTATAAACCAGCTAAAGCAAACAATAAGGAACGATGACCCTGTAATACACCTGGGATGGGTAATTCCCCTTCAAGACCCTGCCATGACAAAGAAGGGGATTACTCACAGTTCAAGCTAGCTAACAAACTTCAGGGTTGTTGCTTAATGGATTTTGTTAAGTTTGTTGTCTCTGCTTTGCAGATGGGCATGCAACTTTTGGTCCATTAATGGAATTCAATTTTTTTAACCAGAATGTTGTGCACAAATACATGCTTCTGCTAATGTGTATAGTTAATACAAATTAGTACTGATCTGGGCATTAGCACAAGCCTGCCCAAAAATTAAAACAGCAGCCTGCAAGCCTACAAAATCCACATCACTTGGAATTTGGAAAAAGCCAGTATGTTGTAGGATCCTCAGGCCAGATTCTGAATCACATGTGACCACAAATAAATCCACTGTGGATCCCTCCATTCACCCCAAGTGGCCTTTAATGAAGATGTGAAATAGGGATGCTCACAGGATGCTTCCTATGACATGAATCAAGATCTTCAGACCTACATATAATTGTCATAGAAATATGGGGGCTCAAGAAACAGACATTTCCATTCATTCATTCATTCATTCATCCATTCATCTATATTTATTATTGAATTTGCATGCCATCCACTAATCTCTAGGTGGCTTACAGTAAAATACTACAAACAACAATAAAACCCATTAAAATCACAATAAAAAAATTAAAAAATGGATATCACAGTTATACCAAATAAGCAGAACAACAGCTATCAAAAATAAATAACAAGTTAAAGACTGTCCGTGGAAGCATTCAGAAAAAAGAAATGCCTTCACTTGACGTGAAACTAAGTTGGCGCCGGGCAAATTTCTCTGGGGAGCCTGTTCCATAGTTGAGGGGCAGCCACCGAGAAGACCCTTCTTCTATTTACCATCCCCTTTAACTCCTTAAGGGACGGCTCTTTTAAAAGGACCTCCTGCCCAGATCTTGATGGATGGGTAGGTATATATGGGAGCAGATGGTCCTTTAGGTAACCAGGCCCTAAGCAATTTAGGGCATTATATGTCAACACAAGCACATTAAATTGGGCCTGGGTTACAAATGACAAACAGTGTAACTTATATGAAACTGGTGCTATATGGGCCCACTTGTTAACACCCATCACCAACTGCATGGCCCAGTTTCGAACCCGCTGAATTCGCCAGACCATCTTCAAAGGCTGCCCCATGTCAAGCGCATTACAGTTACCAGTGCATGCATGACTGTGGGCAGGCTGTGTCTACCCAGGTAGGGGTGAAGTTGGTATATTTGGTGCCCTGGGCACTGAGACCACCTGGGCTTCAAGTGATAGTGTGGGGTCCAGGAGCACCTCCAAGCTGTGAACCCTGACCTTCAGGGGGAGTGCAATCCCCCCCAGGACAGGGCAGACCTCCAACCTGTCAGAACAGCTGCCTTCCAACAGCACCTCTGTCTTGACTAGATTGAGTTTTCAGCCCATTACCAAGCTCAGGCACCAGTTTAGGAGAGGCTGCCTCATCTGGATCAGCTATAAACAAGAGGTATAGCCTATGACCTCTCCCAGCAGTTCATGTAAATGTTGACCAGCATGGGGGATAGTACAGAGCCCTGCTGAACCCCATGGTGGTTGTGCCATGGGGCAGAGCAACCATCCTTCAGCACCACTGTCTGGACAGCCAGGTAGGAGCAGAATCACCAAAAATCAGTGCCCCAAACTCCCACCCCAGCCAACCTGTCCAGAAGGACACCATGGTTGATGCTGAGAGGGCCAGGAGAATCAGCAGGGTCACACTCCCCCTGTCCCTCTCCCAGCAAAGGTTATCCCACAGGGCAACCAAGGTTGTCTCTGTCCCAAACCCTGCCTGAAACCTGATAGAAACAGATCTAGAAAATCTGCTTCATCCAAGAGTACCTGAAGCTTCCCAGCCACCACCTGCCCCAACACCTTGCCCAAAAAGAGGAGGTTTGCTACCAGACATTAGTTATTGACCAAGCCTGGGTCCAGGTTCAGCTTTTCTAGGAGTGCTCTTATCACAGCCTGTTTCCCAGATTCAAAGTTAGGCTTACTGGAAACAGTAGGTGAACTTTTAAATATGGACAAATTAATTCCATATTGCACATATTCCAACGTTTCCAATGGCTTTAGGATTTTGGAAGAAAATTTAAGTTCTCTCTCTCTCTCTTTCTTAAATGCCTGTGGACTACTATGGCCTGGGGATGGGCACAGAATGCCTCCGTTTCCCAGCTCCAAGGCGGGAGGTGGTGTTCTGACTTTGGAGGTAGGAATCCATGGTACAGTCTCCCTCCCTCCCTGTTCCAGCTGCTTCTCCAAAGAGAGGGCCTGACCTCCGAATGGTAGCTAAAGGGGCATTCCAATCAGTGGGGAGGGTCGGGGGCTGCACTAGCCAGGATACAAGCTTTCCCATATCTCCACCAGCCCACATCTTCCCACATCCCCTGCCAGCTAAAAGGCCAACAATGAGCTTCTAGAGAAAATGCAGAGCCAGAGATGCAGGGAGGCTGAGAGAGCCTCTGTAGCTCCTCCCACTCTGCAAGGATGGTTGTAAGCAGTGCTTTTTTTGTCACAGAACGCACCGGAACGGAGTCCCGGCACCTTTTTTCGATGGATTTTCCAAGTTTTAAAAGTAACTTTTGAAAATTTGATGTTTGGTCCACGTGGATTCGAATCGCCCTGTCGAGCGTAGCAGGTCGGCGGCAAAATCATTAAAATGGTGCACGCAGGCTGCTTGTGTGTCGAGTCCGATGCGTGTGTGCTTCGTCCGCACTGGTTGTGATGGCGCTGCTCAGTTTGTGGTGCTGCTTGGCTTGTGATTGGTCGTGTGGTCGCTTACTGTGGGTGGCGACCGTTATGTTTCGTTACACAACTGACGTGTGTGGGTGGGTGTACAGTGATTGACTACGTGTGAAAGGTAAATAATTTCATGAGTTCCGGCACCTTTTTTCTTACAAAAAAAGCACTGGTTGTAAGCACCTGGGTTCACTGGCATGCGAGCCTCAAGAGCACAGGATTGCACTTTGGAAGGGCCCTAGAGGCAAAAAGAAGCCACTTGATTGGTATAGGAACAATATGAGGAGAAATACTCCATCAGTGAGCGAGGGAAGTGCTAACTAATCAATTCCACTGGAAAGTTGAGCAGGTAGAAATAACTTATAGTGACACGTGCACTTTCATAAAGCAATTTGTGCTAACAGGCTACCCTGCTGTATACCAGGTCGTCCACTACTTGAAGGGCCAAACCTGGTTCAAAGGTGCAGAACCCTAAGAAGGGAAGGCCTGGAGACCTTGGACAGCAGACTGAGCCACCTGACCACAGTCCTCCTTGCTACAAGGAGATAAATGGTTGTTCCCTTTTACATTATAATCGCTATTTCTAAATTTGTGCTTATAATATATAGTAACAGTTATAAATCTCATGGAAGGCTATGCCTAGTTTCATCTAGTTTTGCATGAGGTACTTCCTCTCTTTTCATGTGTAAGTGGACACCCTACAGGTTAAAGTAGTTAGTTACATATGTGGTAGCAATTCTTACTTCTTCTGCATGAACCCTGCAAGGAAAGAAGCTACCAAACATTGAATGGATTCTGTTGAACAGCTCCTGTCCACAGGAGACTAGAACCCTTGAAGTCTTCTTAAAGGAAGACGCAAATGGAGCACTTGTGTTTAGTCATGAGAGCCAAGAGGCAACACTGAGGGTTGTAAAGTTTTCACAGCAGTTCTGGAACTCATATTTAGCTGTGTACAATATCTATATATCACTCCACATCTAAGCAGAGTTTTTTTTTTTTTTAGGAGCTGCTGAAAACCTCACAATGGTGGTACCTGCCTGACCTTCAGATGCAAGGACTTCCACAAAAATGGAGCTGCTACATTGAAGGCTTTCCTCTGGGCGGACTCCAGTCAGACCACAGGTCCACACAGAACCTCCAGGAGCATAAGCAACACATGAACAAAGGAACCAAGATGCCCATAAATATTTTGGTGTACTCTTACCATTTTCCTGCAGTGTTATTCTGAAGTCTGGTTGGGAGAAATTACCCAGATGTTATGTAAAGGCAACTGTGTCAATTACCTGATCACCACAATGATCCCATCAAAGATATTGTATGGATTTTTGATGTAACCAAAAGGGCCATACACGAGGAGCTTCAGAAGCATTTCTAGAGCAAAGAGGCTAGTGAACACAATATTGCTGATTTCCAGTGCATTGGTGAGTTCTTCAGGCTACGGAAAGACAAACAAAAATACAAAGATGTATTAATGGGTGCTCAGATAGACCAGGAAACTCCAAACCACGTGAATGATATTAGGTCATTTAATAATACACTCATAACAATCAGCAAGACAAGGCTAGACCATCTCTGGTCCATAAGGCGTTTCTTGCAGTTCCAAACCTGCTTTTTTGTATATCCAGAAATGATTCCTGAGGCAATATGAACAGCAAATACAAAAGGGAATTTGGTATTTAAATCAGATCTCCCCACTGCTAGTGACAAGTCTGCAGTAGTAAATTACCAACAAGAATTTAAATTAGTCACAGTAACATTACAGATTTTGGAGGCAATTAGTACAGCAAGACAATTAAAAGGGGTTGATACTGCTGTCCCACAAAAAAGTAATATGTACAACTCAGAAGCAAATCATCCTCTACTTTATCTTCATATACAGTCACAAGTTAAGAGGCTTCAGAAACTTAATTGCAATATGAAATCAATAGTTTGAATAATGACTAGTGATTTTCAATGCCCTTCTCATTTTTCAGCATGCAGTTTGAGATCTGGTCTCAAAATATGCATATATCATCCTTCACGGAAATTGGTTCCAAGGCAGTTTACACAGATAAAGTATCAAAGGCAATAAAAACACATCATAAAAGGCAGATAAAAGAGAAGTATGGGCAATATTTTAACAACCATAACATTTAAGAGCTTGGGGGGCAGGGAGAAAGGGTTTGCCTGGTGTCTAAAGGAAACACTGTGCGTTTTCCTGGGAAATATGTTCCATACATGGATCCTTGCTCAGATTGTCATCTTCTTTACCCCAAAGGAGGAGGGAGCAGAGGGAAGGGCAAAACAACAGCTGTGTTGGATCAGATCAAAGGCCAGTGTTTGGTGTCAATGCAAAACCAGGCTGTCCCATTATTTGTCCCAAATCCAGATAATTTATAATCATATTAAAAAGAAATCTGTTTCAGAAAAAATTTCTGGAAGAATCTACTACTTAACGATTCTTCCACTGGCTCTAAATTCGCTCCAAATTCTAAGTCTGTCAATGAGCAGACAATGGAATGAAAGTCACCTGAACATCTTTAAAGCAAGTGCAGAGTGGCTGTTGCTCTATTTGCATATGTAGTTAAAAACAGATTTGTCTAACTCAACATTTAGGTATATGAGGATTCCATTACAAGCAGGATTTGCATCAGAATAATGCAGGGCAAATAGGAACCTATTTGGTGTTCTGGCCAACCAGCCATATTTTCTTTGGCACACTCCGTTCTCTTCCCCTTTGCTCCTTAGAATCATAGAACAGTAGAGTTGGAAGGGGCCAGGAAGGCCATCGAGTCCAACCCTGCTGTTGCAGGACACCACATTACACCATCCTACTCAGATGGCTGTCCAGTTTTGCACTGAATGTCTCCAGTGTGGGAGAGCCCACCACCCCTCTGGGCAACTGGATCCTTTGTCAGATTGCTCTGTCAGTGAGGAAACTCTTCCTGATTTCTAGCCTGAATCTGGGTCGTCACAACTTGAACTGATTATTCTGTGTCCTACACTTTGGTATGAGCAAGAAGAGACTCTGTCCTCCTTCTTTGTGACAGCCTTTCAGGTACTCCTAGAGTGCAATCATATCCCCCCTCAGTCTTTTCTTCTCAAGGCTGAACATACCATGTAGCCATTTCTCTCAGTATCTCCTCATAGGGCAGCGTTCCCAAACCCTAGATTATTTTTGTTGCCTTTCATTGCTCCCTTTCTACTTTTTCTGCATCTTTCTTAAATCTTGGTGCCCTTTTCTCTCACCATCACCCTCTCCTCTGTGAAAGTCTACAGACTATGCCCATCCTTATGGGGCTGTTTTTAGTTGATTCCGCCCCTGTTTTGCATGCTTTTTTCTTCAATTTTTTGTGCTTCCATAATCTTGGTTTTTCCTTCAGTCTGCTGATGCCTCCCTCTTGTCTGTAGCTGGTGCCATTTTGGTTACACGTGGAATTGGAGAGTTGAAATGTTAATTAGTATAGCATATGATGAGGATGGCAGCACAAACAGGAATAGTCAAAATCTCAAAATGAAAATGCATTTCCTATGGAAATCCACTGCTCTGTGGTGGAAAAACGGGTTGAATATGAAATTCCTCCTTTCAGTGTCACATCTTCCTCATTAAGACAAAGTACTTGCTCAAGTTAGCCCAGTCCCAGCCTGTGTACTGTAACTCAAACGGTTTCAAAGTTCCATAGCCAGACAGGCATATTTATAAAAAGTATTAAAATATGCTTAAGTCTTACCAAAATAAATTGCATTTGGGCATCTTTTAAAAGCCTGAATGCAGAACTGTGTCTCTATTATTGACCATTTCTCAACACTCCAAGTCACCACAGTGGCTGAGAGCTTGAGCAATAATGAACATCAGATGGACCATGTCAGCTAATTTCTCTGGGACACTGTCTGTGTGCACTTAATTGTCTTTCCCGGTCTTAAAGTCTTCCTACATGCACATCCGTTCTTTTGCCACTCACTGCAGAGCTGGAGCCAGACAAGTCATGCTGCCACCATCCTGTCGCAGAGTAAACTAAGCTGACACTTATGAGAGGCTGCTGTGGCAAAGCCTTTGAGCCCCTACAAAGCAACGCATGTGGGAAAGGCTTCCCTGAAAGAGCATTCTAGGCAAAGGAACTGATGCGCCCATACAGACAATGCTGTTTGTGTATCTTTTGCAATTTCCCCATTTGAACTAGTTTTCGTTGCCATGGTGTGGAACACAGTTCACGTGCTTCCACCATCTGAGGTGGGTTTACTATTGCTGCCATGCTCTTTAGATCTCAGTTGCTGATTCTTCCTGTGGTTTATGATATGTGCCCAGAAAATTGAGTAGCACTGAAACTCTAGAATACTGACACGATCTGGAGCTGGACCCAACAGCACCACTTCCGCTCTTGTAATACACACCGAGGCTTGCACAGCACAGGCTAAGCCAACCTCGTATGTCAGGGGAGTGAGGGACTGTGAACCAGACGGCAAAAGTGCTCAGCTGGTAGAACAAACCACGACTACAGTCTTCCACCACTTGGGCTGTTAGAATCCCATTGAAGCTGATGGGGGTTCAGCAGAGTGCTGAGGAAACGTTTGTCTTCTGGCATACAGGGCCAGCCCTTTCGTGAGACGGGACGAATCCTCCACCTCAGGCTGTACGGAGGGAGCAGCAGTGAAGCATGTGCTGCCTCCCAGCAGGAGGACCTGCCGCCTGTCCACATGCCTTCCTCTTCTGTGCCGCTTCTGCTCCCACGGCATCTCCCGCCCCACCCTCCCTGCTGCATGGCCATCGGGATCCGCTCAGGGCAAGTGGTGACCTCCAGGGACATCTTCTTGCAACGCCTGGCTCCAAGTAAGACCGCTCAGGCCCAGGCTTTTGGGCCTGGCCAGCTGGCTAAAGCGCTGTGCCAGACAGGACTGACGCAGCTCTTCAGAGAGCACAGCCATCCTGCAGAGCGGGCAGCGGCAATGCGAGAGGGCGGTGCATTCAGACAGCTGGACGAGGGAGGGAGGCAGAGGCAGGAGGTGGGGGGAGACAGGCAAACCTGACACATGGGCCAGCAGGGAAGGGAGACGGACGTGATGGGCTGGACTGGATGGGGTGGCAGCAGTGCAGGCCGTGGTGGCGCATGTGCTTTCCTGCCTCGGTCTGTAGGAGAGCTTGTACACATGCTCTGCCTGCATGCACACAATGGCAGCTTTGGCTGGGAAGTGCCGAGATGCTGCCATTCCCCATCTTATTCTGCCTTGAAGAAGAAATGTACGAAAGCTTCTAACTCCGTAAGTCGTGGATTTTTGGTCCCCTGCCTCTTCATTAAGCATTTGTGTCTGCATCTGGTTGAATATGTAAGAAAAATATGGGAGGGGGTGCAGAAACTTTATTTGCTCCCAACCTGGCTGAAACAAGACGAGCAACTACCTCCGCAATATTCTGGAGGCTGCTTCTTTGTTACAGATGTGGATGTGTGCAGAGGGCTACTTTCAAGGGGTTTTGGCCAGAAGCCCAGTTTGCCGGATAGCATCTTAGATCTCTTTGGAAATCTAAAAATTTGGGGCCTCTCTAAACATTCCTGGAAGGGGCGGGCGGGTTGCGAATTCTGAACATGTTTAATGGGCTAGCTGCATTTGGCTGCTCTGTTAAACCACATTTTGCTTTGCTCCTTTTAAACTCCTCTGAGCTATCCCTTGCTGCTGTGATACTGGGAATTTTGGGGTGGTGTAAAGGGGAGTCGGTAGGGGGAGAGAACCTCTGACATGGTAGGCAGTTCCTGAGAAGCCCCCTCCCCCTTGGAGGGTAGGTAGAGCCCCATTTGCTGTGCTTCCCCCCACTGTTATCCCCCTTGGCCTGCTCCCCAACTTCTGGGAAAGCCATTGGCCTCTGCTCACGTGGACAGGCTGTGGAAGAGCAGCCTGCACATTTCCCAGCCGCTCCAGCTGCTGCTACACATCCATCTTTTCACGCTGAAGACTGCTCAGGAAATAACTGAACAGAACAGAAAAGAACACCACGCCAGCCTTTTAAACGTTCACGAGTGTCCTCCAAAATTGCAGGCTGTGCAGCGAGACAGATCCTAGGCAACTTGGCGAGCGACTCCCTGCTGCCTCATTATAGGCGTCTCTGGGAGGGGGGCGGGAGGGGCAAGGTGGCCATTATGAGGTGCATAGATATCCTCCTTCTTGCACATTTTTTGAAAAGCATGTTTGATATTAAACACATTTTTCATCTAGAGTCAATAAACCTTCCCATTCATCTACTCAGTGTCTACAATTATATATATATGTGAACTTGTGTGGCAGGCAAGCTGTGCTATAAAGCAATTTCAAACAGCCTTATTAAAACATGTGCTCTGAATGGGGAAAATATCTTATTTACCATCTCAGCAGTGCCACGGGAGTTGGCATGCATGCATTTTCATCCTGGAGGCTGCACTTTTCCAGAAGCAAATACGGATGGTGCTCGCAGCAGAAATACTAATCTTC